GTACAGTACTCCCTCCCCAAGATCCCACTCCAGTGTGCAGATCCAGGTCCAAGGAGGATGCCAAGAAAAGGAGCAAGAGGTATCACTTATTACCAAGCAGGCCCATGCCATGGGACCTGCCCTCAGTGTCTCCTCAAATATTCCCACTTTACAGCTAAATGGACAGGGAACCTTCCAGAGGACATTGTTATCGAGTAGTGGAGCTGTCCCTGAAAAGTCAGGTGAGTTCCGGAATTCAAAACTGAATCTATAGTTTCTGGATCTATAGTATCTTGGGATGGGTCAAGAGCTAGAAGGGAAAGCGTTTCCATCTCTGGCCAGTGTGCCTGGCCTCTTACACTTCTAGACCCGAGGAGCAGCACTGAAGGCTATTTTAGGTAGAGGTCTGTCTGGTGGTGGCGCCTCTCCAAACTTCTGAATCCAGGTTCCAGGCATTCTAGCTAACAGTCCTGTAAAGACACAGTTAGGGAGAATCTGGTGTTTGTCATCACAAAAGCTCATGGTGTGTTGACAGTATTTCTGTCCAGTGCTCTGCAAGTGTAAGGAGATAGAGATCTGATATTTACTGAGTGCCAGAAGCTCCTCTAAGGACTGTCCTTGTGTTAACTAATCCAGTCCTTATAACATCCTTAGTAGGTATTATTACCTCATTTTACAGATGAAGAAACTAAGGCAGAGGAGGGGTTAAGTAACTTGCTGTAGAAACCAGTGGAGGCAGGGCTTCAGCTCACTGAACTCTTATGACTATAACATACTGAGTATGTTAAAAATATAGGGAGATGTGGCTTGTGGCTTGAACTCATATCCAAGAATCAAAACCAAGAGAGCATTTCCTAAGTGTTCTACAGATTTCCATCCACTTGGTCAACATAGGACACCTACTTCACCATTGACTAATACTGCACAGGAGGTGACAAATGGGTTTGGGGAAGGGGGAAGGTTCTAGAAGTATGCAGAATTAGCAGGTTTCCTGGACTCAGTAGGACTCAAAGAAGAAATCTGATGTCTCACAATGCTGTCAGCCTAATGCACTCAGGTCACTGTGCCTCTAACTTTCTCTTTTAAATATAAAAGAGTTTAGAGGTTGGTGTTCTTTTTTTCTTTTCTGTTGCATTTTTTGTGTATTTTATATAGAACATTTTAATCAACTTTATATCCCCTTCTCCACTGGTACCTGTCCATAGCAACTGCCTCCCCCACTGGAATTTATACATTCTGTCATTTGTATTAAGGCCTATCATTGTCAAGTTAGTGTCCCCAGATGTCCCTCAGTGTAAGTTCATCCACTGAGGTCTAGTCAGCCTATTTAGAGTCCCTCCCTTTAAGAAGATCAGCTCTTCCTCATCCAGCAGTAATCAGATGCTAATAATTCTTCAATTAAGATTGGGGCCTGCTGTTCACTTCCAGTTCTGTGCTGGCTTTTTGTCTGCTTGAGTTTGCATGGGTCTTGTGCATGCTGACACCATTGCTGTAGGTTCATATGAGCAGGGTCCCAGGAGCCTGTAGGACTGTTTCCATATGGTCATGTACCTCCTCTCTTGGCTGTGTTAGTCTTTCCTGATCCTCTTCTGCAATGGTCCCTGAGCCCTGGGTGGGTGGAATTTAATATAAGAGGCCTGTCCAGGGACCCACACTCTGCAGACTCTTATTCTGTTTTGCCCATTTGTGACCTTTTGTGTTCCTGGCATTCTTTTTTCCTTTGTTGTATCAGGTAGGGTTCTCCAGAGGAACAGAGCCAATAGAATATAAATATATTATAAAGGGACTGACTAGAATGACACGCAACAGTGGCCATCTGTCTACTGGAAAGGCTGAGAACACAGTAGCCACTCAGTCCTTGAAGCTGGATACCATAGCAGTCCCAATCCGGTGCCAACAGCCTGGAACATTTCTGAAGAGTTGCTGGTCTTCAGTACACACTGGCAGGATGAAGAATCTGGAGTCTGATGTCAGCAAGGGATGGCAGCGGCAGCAGCAGCAGCGGTGACTGATGCACTGCACCCGCAAGAAGAAGGCAAGGAGCACTGATGTTCTTGAGACCTCTGGGGCTTCTGCTGGAAGGTGCTGCCCACTCTGTCTCTCCTAGGGCAATCTTTCCCTAAACGGCCTTCATAGACTGCCCCGAAGTGTCTCTTATGGGGGCTGGTGAGGTGGCTCAGTGGTTAAGACCTCTGACTGCTCTTGCAGAGGACCTGGGTTTGTTTCTCAGCACTGGGTCTAACACTCTCTTCTGGCCTTTGAGGGCACTGCACACATGGGTGCACTTACATGAATATAGGCAAAAACACTCATATACATAAAATAAAAAAAAATAAAGATTAACCATTACATGGCTCAGTGGTTAAAAAGAATGCACTACTCTTACAGAGGACCCACGTTCAGTTCCCAGCATCCACATCAGGGAGCTCACAACCAACCCTAAATCAAGTTCGTTCCAGGAGATCTGACACCTCCATGGTCACCTGCATGCATGTGGCATATACACCCACATGTACCTATAATTAAAAATTATAAATCTTTAAAAAAAAAGATTAACCATTACATATGTAGTACTGGGATCAAACCCAGGGCCCCACAGGCTAGATAAGCACTCTGCCACTGAGCTACACCCAAGCCTAGAATTTGGTACGATGAATTAGCTTTCTGCTGGTTTTTTAGTTTTTAATTTTTTAAAAAAATTAGAGCAAATTCTAGCTGTTCTCTATGTGCAATAGGCTCAGGATGCCTCAGTGAAAATCTGTCCTGTGGAGACACAGCTGGGGACCTGGACAGCTGAAATTTCTAGAGGTGTTTACACTTGTTTTTTCCTTTTAGGTGAACATCCACACTAGAGACCCAGGAACCTTGACAGAAACTAAAGGCTTACATAGAAATGTGAATTTTATTCAAGATAAATGGACAGAGGGAGAACAACAAATGAACCTATTAGATACCATTTCACAAACATTTTACCAAGAAACTCACCAGTGAACACCTGAAGAACCAGAGTGGAGGTTGTGTATGTGACGTTCTTGGTTTTATGAAAATGCATTTAAGAAACTGTCATAAGAATGTGTTGAAAAGAAGTCCCAATGGTGTAGAAGTCACCAGGGCTGGGCTAGGTTTGGAGCCCTGGGCAGCAACTTCTGAAGAAAAGCAAACTCAAAGAATAATGCTATGTCAGTGCTTTCAAGGCAGGTGGGCTCACTTTTTGGAAACTGGTTCTCTACCAAGTTTGAAATATGAAATAGGAAGACGTCAATCAATATGAAGCTGTCTACACGGCAGCTTCTGAACCACTATGTTAGAGGAGACAAAAGAGCAACTTAGGGGCAAAAGAGAAAAACTGAAGATACGTATAGGTTCTTAAATATGTATTTTAAGTCAAATAATAATTTTAGCTTTTGTTGTATTTTTTGTGTGTATAGTGTGTGTGTGTGTGTGTGTGTGTGTGTGTGTGTAGGCCTGAGGTTGATGTCAGGAGTCTTCTTTGGTCACTTTCCATCTTATTGAGGTAGTCTATCAACTGAACCCACACTTGCCCTAGGGATCCCATGTCTGCCTTCTGAGTGCTGAACTTCCACGAGCCGTCACCATGCCACAGGCTTTTCTGTGGGTTCTGGGAATGAATCCAAAAGCTGGGTCTCTTGCTTGCAAAGCAGGCACTTTAACTGCTGAGCCATCTTTCCAGTCCATGCTCATTATGCAGCTCAGGCTGGCCTGAACTGTATAGCCTAGGCTAGCCTCAAACTCCTGACCCTCCTGCCTCATCCTCTTGAGTGCTGGGATTAAAGCTAGACACTGCCACAGCTGGTATTATCTTAGTTTTTTGGAGTCTAGCTATATAGCCAAGGTTAGCCTGGCACTTGCTACCTCCATCTCACCTCCAGTGTGCTAGGATACAGGAATGTGCAACTGTTCTAGTTTGTTTCTTCATTGCTGTGACAAAACACTCTGACCACTACCAACTTGGGGAGGAAAGGGTTCATTTCATCTTACATCTCCTGGGTCACAATTCATCAGGGAGCCCAAGGTAGGAACTCAGGGCAGGAACCTGGAAGCAGGAGCTGGAGCACAGGCCATGGAGGAACACCCTGCTCAGCCTGCTTTCTTATGCAAGGCAGGCCCACCTCCCTAGGGTTGGCACCACCCACAGTGAGCAGGGCCCTCCCACACCACTCAACAATCAAGAAGATGCCCCACAAACATGGCCACAGGCCAGTCCTATGGAAGCAATTCCTCAATTGAGGCCCCCTCAACCCAGGTGTGTCAAGTTGACACTAAAGCTATCCAGCACAGCAACCAAGCCTGGCTTAAATCACAACTAAATAAAATATCCCAGAACCAATCCTCTGTATTTTTAATTTATTCCACATCAAATGTAAATGTAGAATATCTGAATTTGTTCTTACATATCCTTAAGTATAACGTCTAAATGTAGATAAATATTTAAGTAATTAGTTCATAATACTTGGGCATTAATAAAATATAAGAAATCTCTTTGAAGCCATCTAAATTTTGAAGATACAACTTAAAAGGTGGTTAAACAACCATACATTAGTATATGGGACCACACTTTCCTGAAGGGAATTAAGAGAATTTTGACACTGGCTAGTGATGTGGCACAGGCTAACAGTGCCGTGCACCTGTTCATCTTGGCTCTGGGACTGTGGGAGGTGGGAAGGAGCCTTGGGGTTGGCACCCAGGTGTTGAGTGCAGGAGCTGCATGCTCATTAGGAGGTGCTTTCAGGAGCTAGTTCTGCAACTGGTGCAGCTGGTGCAGTGACTCTGGACAAGCTCCTGCTTGGCTTGGTGCTTTCTATAAATGCAACTCGCTGAAAGCTGATTGGAATCTTTATTAAAAGAAAGACAATTCTTAAGCCAGGCGTGGTGGTGCACACCTGTAGTCCCAGCATTTGGGAGGCAGAGGCAGGCAGATCTCTGTGAGTTCAAGGCCAGCCTGGTCTACATAATGAGTTCCAGGACAGCTGGGGCCACAGGGAGACCCTGCTTCAAAAAAAGACCAAAAAAAAAAAAAAAAAAGAAGACACAATATACAACATTCTAATTTCTAAATATTTTTTTTCCGTTTTGAGACTGAACAGAAGGCTGGACTCACATTACATCCTGACTCCTCATCCCTTGGCTGCCTGGGTTAGATCCAACCATGGCTAGCAATGGAACTACTCTTCAAGGGCTGAGCCCTTTGAGAAAAATATAAATAGCTATTAACATAACAGTTAACAGAACAATAAATGCTGATGGGCTGTTTCTGCCCTAGAATTAAACTCCATGTATCAAACGATCAAGCTCAGCTCTCCAATTCCCATATTTGACATCTGAAGGAAGGGTGGCCAAGTCACTGATTTGATGACCCAAGGAGTGCCACTTGTGCCCCCAAAGAATCACAATAAACAGTCAGGATATCTTCTAAAAAGCCCACAATGGCCCTTCTGGCTGTGTCTCCAGCTGGTGTCTGCACCCCACGTATGTGCTGCAGGGCCATTCTGACCATTTGGTTTCTTTCATGTGGGGTGTGGCCTGCTCCAGGGTCATCTCCCTCTGTTCCTGATTTTAAAAACTGCAGGATATAGGACTGGATCATACCCCCATTCAGCTCAAGAGTGTTTTTGATGCAGGGTAGGTCTAAAGCACTGGCTAGGCTCAAGAGGTGAATCAGTGCCTGGCAGATGTGGGTCCGTAGGCTGGCACAGTACTTGAATTCCAGAAAGTCTGTAGTATCTTCACTCTTCTGCAAGGCGGTGACCAACGCGTTCCAGATCTGAGTGTACTGTTCTAGAGATCCATACTGCTCTCTCTTGCCTGGGATGGCAAGGGCAGCAGCAGATCTGATGCGCACTTTGAAGTTCTTGCACGACGTCACCACTGATGTCAGGGCCTTGTAGGCCTGCGAGGCCCATGGGGCTGTCCCTGGAAGAATTCGCAATCATTGAAACTAGTGAAGGCTTAGCAGGTTGAGCAGAGAGGGGTGGAGGAAGGAACTCCAGTGTTTAAGACAATCATCTTGTTCATTTTCATAAATCTGGTAAGATCAGGGAAGAGGGAACTTACCTGTCAGATCCCAGGAAAGGGTCTGAACTCTGACCCCCTGGTTTCCCTCTTTCTTTGGACCAGCCTGCAGTATGTATTCTACTAACCCGAAACAGGCCCTTATCTGTCCAATGGAAAGCTTGATGGGAGAAGAACTGAACCTACCTCTCCTCAGCAGTGTGCACAACTGCACAACTCTAGGGGCCGCCATGCTCCTGCCAGCGGAGAACATTTCCTTAGCTGGAGTAGCACCCAGACCCCATTCTAGCCACAGCACACCGTGCATTTATGCATCTTAGTTATCACAAATAAGTAAGAAAACTTCTAATTTCAAGAATAAGATGCTCAAATTTGTCTTCTTCCCATTCCTGTGGGCCTCAGAAAATTAGCCTTCAGAGCTGCCGCTATCCACTGTGGTTTGGGGTTCTTATTCTTCAAGGTGGGCAACAGAGAAGAAAGCAGCTTCTGTACCTCCCCAGCCCTTCTCTCCTCTCTGTTGCCCCTGAAGACAAACCCTGTCCACTCTGGATGTTCCATTGACAAGGTCTTCGGATCTCACTGCCTCACCACTGTCCTAGCCAGTTTTCTGGCTCCCTTTTTACATGGTTCCTCATGGCTCTGTCACCTCAGGGAAAAAAGCCTCAAGGCAATTTCTCCATTGGCTCCCAGGTGCTGCTCAGCCTCGACATTCTTTTGAGAAAGGGCCATGGAGCCAGCTTCCCCTTACTTGGTGTCTGCTCTGCTGGTCCACATGATTCTCCCCTCTCCCAGGTCACACCTGTAGCTTTCCTTCCAGTCTTCTCAGAGGTAGAAGTGCAAAGCCAGTGCAGGCATTCCTGGTGGCTGGGGCCCAGCGGGGAGCTAGAATCCATACACATAAGCTATGGGACCAGGATGAAATATCAAGGCTCATGATACTATGAGGACAATATGATAGAGACACCCTGAGCATCTAATTCTGAACCAAGAACTCATTAGACTTTGAGCTTGAGCCCTCTGCTCCCAAGCGAAAACAGGCCTGCACAACATTCTACACAGAGGCAACACTGGACTTGGACAATTTCCTTTCCATTTTTTTTCCTAATTATCTATTGAGATTATACTACAGAAATGAGCTAATATCCTGTTTTACTTTGCTTAACACAAGAAGTATTTTCCCAGATTATAAAGAAGTCTTTGTGAATATGATTTTAAATGGCAACAAAACATCTCATCAAATATACACACAATGACTTTTTCATTCCACTCAACTTGGCTCCCTATGTTTTCTAGTACTGTGACAAAAACCATTGTGACAAACATCTTAGCATATACTGCTCACACATGCCTTCCAAAGAGGCTCTTCACTAGAGAGAAGAAGAGGGAAACTATCTTACCAAGGGGAAGGGAGGTATTTTTAAAAACATTTCCCATCGCGTAACAAGCATTCCATCGGACTTTCATGGTGGCCTCATTTACAACAGTAGAAATTAGAGTCTGGATAGACTCCTCAACGATTTCAGCAAATCTGGGTCTTTCTATGTGAGAGGGTTGTAGAAAATGAAGCAAATTTCCAAGGGCCCGGACAGCATTGCTTTTGACCTAGAATAAAATGTGAAAGCCTTAGAGAATGATTTTGCCAGATGTTTCATAAAGTATAGATACCATTAAAAACAAAAACAACTCTGGGAGGCCCTGGATTTCTTAAAGCAAGACAGCTAATGAGACAGTTTTCTGTCAGGTCCTGGGATCTCTGCGAGGTCACGTCTGGCTAACTTTCTGAGCTCTCAGAAAAGGGAGGGGTCTACAAAGCTCCTGTTCTGGACTTTCAGTGCTAGTCTGTGCCTCAGAGATGTCTGTCTTTCTGGGTTTAGAGATGAAGCATGAGCCTAGGACAACAGGACCGGCAGGAAGGCCTGGAGGGGAGTGAGGCTCCTACCTATGGCTCAGCGAGCTTTATGAGACTGGGAGATTCAACCTTCATGGCACACTAGAATCACTTAGGCACACTTTGTTTTGGCTTTTATCCCAATTCCCGGACCCTGCCCTGGGAATCCTGATTGGATTTCTCTGTGATAGAGCTCCTCAGGTGACTGAATACCAGTCACCACTGCACTAAATGAAGCATGTGGTCTGGGTCAGGCACAGTGCTTTAACATAAGGCACCCTAGAATCCAGCCAACTATGTGCTATGATTTCTAAGGTATTGGTGAGCAAACTAATCCTCAGGAAAGCTAAATAATACATTAAAACCAAGACGTGAATCCACGTTCACTTGGCCTCAACTCAGGCCTATGCTTTTTAAATTGATTGTGTAACAAGGCATGTGCAAAGCCAAGGGCTCTTCATCTTTTCTTCTTGTCAATTCTGATTCCAGGTGTATTTGCATTTTTCTTTCTTTTTAATAACAGACTCACATAAGATAAACATGACTGAATAATGTAGTATTATAATGAACAATGATCTTTTCTCAAGGGACAGAGACAGTAAAAGAAGCTGCAGGAGCATGGAGTGGCCATGTTAGACTCTCAGTCCCTCGAACACAGGAGAGTTTGATGAACCATTTGTTCATCATATGATGAATGGTTTGATGAGCTTCATGCTGCACTGCACTACCAGCCACACTGCAACTGTACACTCAAGGGCACAGGCGAAACACTGGACAAGTCTACCTTGTCTTTGTCCTTGGAGGCCTGTATTGCTGACTGCAACATTTTCAAGAGCAGGAGACCAGAGAACTCTTCCTGGAAACTTGGGTCTGGTGTGTCTCTGTTCCACCCAAAGCACAAAAACAGGTTAAAAAGAAACCACCACTTAAAAACAAGCATACAAAAATATAGTTTCTAAGTATAGGGAAACAGGAAACAGATCTTTTCAGATAGTAACAAGAACGTACATCTTCTTGTTTGAGATAGGGCCTAGATATAGAGATCAGGCTGGCCTGGAACTTCCTATGTAGCCTAGGTTGACTTCAAACCTGTGATTCTTCTGCCTCAGCTCCCTGAGTTATGGGATTATAGGCATGTGCCATCACACCCAGATTTTGACGGAGCAGTTCTAAATGTAACCTGCCAGGCATGGTGGCATACACCATGAGGCAGAGGCAGGTGGATCTCTGGAGAACGAGGCCAGCCTGGTCTATATAGCAAGTTCCAGGCCAGCTAGGGCTACAGGGAGACCCTGTCTCAAAATATAAAATAAAAAACAATGTAACAAAATGGAGTATCTCAAAATGGCTATTTCATGCAAAGAAGTACTCACTGTATACAGAAGTCAACAAGCCTAAAGTCTAAAACAAGTGCTCAGGAAGAGGGGAGTGGGCAAAGACCCATAATATGATGGGGACTGTGTTAACAGGGATGTAAGTCAGTACATGGTAACATACATGTAACAGAGAATGCTTATTTATTTATGTTGCACATGCCTCATAAAATTAAGTCACAAAAATCAGGATATTTGTGTGTGCTTAACAACAGTTACCTCTAGGGTATGAGCAGGGTGGTAGGGGTAGGAGACAGGTTTTATAGCACATTCTCCTTTGTACTATCTGAATTTTTTTAGACCTGTGAATATATTGCTAAAAAAATATAAATATTGTATTTTAAAAGCATGGTAAGTTACCAAGGTTTTGGATTTCTACTTTTATATTTTCTATATAAACTTGCTTATGTCACAATATAGTATTTTTAAATATATACCACTATACATTCCTAGTATATATTAAGAATTTTCTAACTTTATTACTTAAAAGAATATTACACAAAACAAAGCAGTAGGATTGTGTAACATGGGGAAATTCTTGCTAATTCTTTCACAGTAAGGATGGAAGACATCCTCCTGGACTTCCACCACAGATGTTGCCTGGTGAAAGCCAGCCCTAGTCACTTACATGTTGACAATTAGAGTGTCTGTCAGGTTGCCGAGGGACCAGGCTGCTTTGGCCCGCACGTTTAGAGATTTATCTTGAAGTGACATCAATATGGCATTTGCTGTATCTGCAACAAATATGACGTCCTAGGGATAAGCCAGACACTGTGTTACTGTAGGGGTCACACAGCACCTGTGACTTCACAGATTTATTTTTACACAAAGCTATAAGTTTTTACTGCAAATTTTGATTTGAAATCAAAATTAATTTACACAATCAACGTACTGTTCTTACATATTATAATTTAGACATTCTAAATGCTCCCAGGAGTGCTTTCCCATCATTTCGGTACAAGCCTGAGGGGCCTATGGATTTTGCTTTCATGACTGCCTTAGAATCTGGCCTGTGACAGTTACCTATGAATTCCGTCCTTGGGTCGATTTTCACCTCCTGCAAGCAAAGTTCTGACAATGAAAGCATTTCCAAAATGCACCGCATTCACTACGCACCTCTCTTCAAGATGAATGTTTCACGTAAGGATAAAGGAGAGCTCCAATGCTTTCTTGGTAAAACATGTATCAGCTTTCTAACGGATTCCTTCACGTGGTAACATTCACTTCATTTTTAGCCAATCCTTCACTAATTTAAACATTTATTGCATGCTAGAGCCCCAGGCACGGTGTCAAATAGTTCATAGATGAAGTACAGGTTGCTACATATTTTCTTAGTTTTGATTTTTAAGTGTGTGTCTGTGGAGGCCAGAGAGGGTGCTGGATCTTGGAAGCTGGAGTTACAGGTGTTTCCGAACTACCTGATGTGGGTGTTGGAAGCTGAACTCAAGTCCTTGGAAGAGTACAATAGCCACTAAGCCATCTCTCTAGCCACAAATGTGGCTATTTTAACAGCAATTAAGGAAATCAGATTCTAAAACCAGGTAAATTTCCTTCACTGTTCAACTCAGAAGCTGTACACCTATTAAAAAAACACACACACAGTTGTACAGGTTATAAAGAAACACAGAAGGCTCCCGCTGACCTGTCGGAGACAAGGGAAGAGCACATAGACTCCAAGGGCCCTTGAGGTCGCTGCTTTCACTAAATGGTTCTTGCTGTCATTCAGACCGAGTAGCATTGTGATGCACAAAATCTGCTTGTCACTCTGAAATGAGAAGGTTTATAAATGAAAAGTGAGGGGGATAACCATGAGCCAAAGTCCTCCACAAGTGACTGTGAAGTAAATACTTGTGCTTAAATCCATAGAGGTGCTCAGCACCACTGGGACCATCATCAGGCAACTCTGGTAAAAGGCAGGTACCTGACTACCCACTTTGGGCAAGGCACACAGCATCTCATCACATTTAACCTGTCAACTATGTAAACTAGGTCATTTTTATCCACCTACGTCATTACAGTTGCCTCCTTCATAAAAGCTAATTCATACAGACAAGAAGAGATGTAAATGCCATTGAGGAAAAAGAAAGGGGTGTTTGAACACTGCTATGGCTTACTGTTTATGTACTGCCAATTAAGAAGTAAAGTCATCACCTAAAAGTGGTGGTATCAGAAGGAGGGACCTTTTGGGGGTAAAGTCATGGGGGCTTCAGAGTATGTCTTATAAATGAGACTCCCTAGGGAACTGCCTTCTCCAGCCTATGAGCTGGGAGGCACTAATCCATGAATCAGACAGTGAACTCTTCACCAAGATGCCTACACCTGTAGGCATCCTGACTGTGGAACTTTTCAGCCTCTAGAACTATTAAAAAAATATATTTCCAATGTTTAGAAGTAACCCAGTTTATGGCATTTTATTATACAGATGTATAGACAAGCTGAGACAAATACCCTATGTGTAAGGTCCCAAACCTAAGTATTTTCACATACTTTATGTTACCTCTCATGTGACTTCTATGTTAAGAGAGTAATACGAAGTTTTAGAGAAGTTCAGGTAGTGGACTGGCTAGGATCTAGATCCAGGGTTTAAATTCTGGATGTAAAATATTTCAGAATTTCTTGTCTCCAGAGCTCTCACTTCCCACGAACCTTCTAAAGCACAGGAGGCAAAGCGTTCCTGGAGGATTAAGACTTCACATTTTCCCATCTGCCCTCGCAACAAACTCAAATAGAAGCAGTTTCTTTTCTTTAAAGATACAGCTGAAAATTTTTCAAAACAAAGCATCACACTGAGCCCTGATGCCCAGGACATGTCTGAGGGTGAGGACACATGGCTGAGTTACCGGCAGACTACTGAAGGCTTCTGGCAAGATGGAAGACAGGGCATCACAGGCGCTTGCCTGGAGAGTTGGGTGCTCTGAACTCTGCAGGGCTCGGGGCAAGGGGCCGTTCAGCATCGCAGTCCAGAACATCACCACCTGGAACAGAGGCACAGTTAGAACCACAGCACATGTGACGGTGAGGGAACTAAGGGAAGAAAAGTCCACCAGATGCAGCCTTAGTGAGGAAACAGGTTTTGCTGAAGTAGCTTTCTAAAAGGGCTTTTACTGATTCTCCACAGTGATGGAGAGAACTTCAGAAATAACCAGTCAAATCCTTGCATTTTACTGATTAGAGATCCACCTGCCTCTGCCTCCCAAGTGCTGGGATTAAAGGTGTGTGCCACCATGCCCTACTCTAGCATTTTTTTTAACACGGACTCTGGGGATTGAACTCAAGTCTCATGGCTGCAAGACAAGCACTTTGCTGATGAGCTAGCTCCCCTGATCATAGTTTTCACAGGAGCCATCCAGGAGAAATTGAGAGGGTTAAAGGAAACTCACTGAGCACCTACTATGTGCCAGTACCTTCACATTTTAAGCCATTTTTAAAGTCAGTGTGTATGTGTGTGTGTGTGTGTGTGTGTGTGTGTGTGTGTGTGCCACAGCAGACATGTAAAGGTCAGAGGACAACTCTGAGACTTGGCTCTCTCTTTCCATCTTTGCATGGGTTCCAGGGATTGAACTCAGGTGGTCAGGCTTACACTGCTGGGTGGCAAATGCCTTTATCCACCGAGCCATTTTGCCAGCCTCTACCACAGTTTTTGGCATTGGAAGAAATGATACATCTACTCCACTTTATTACTGATTCCAAAAATAAAACTACACTTGAGCACAAAAAAAGAAAACACTGGAACAGACCTGCACTTACCAGGAGGACTGGCACTCTCTGCTCAGGGGCTGTGCTGGAATCTGGTTTATGCTGCTGTATCAAGCCCATACCTAGTTCTTCCAGAAGCTGCCGAGATACAAGAAATAAGTGTCCAAGAACAGCATTAGAATCATGGAGGTCCAAACAACTTGACTTCAGCTTGAGACCTTGACTCATCAGGAAAAGCCTTTTCTAACCGATTTCCCTTCTCATCTTACTAACCCTGTACAGGGCATTCTTTCAAGGAGTAACTCATTCCCAACTCATATACTTAAGAATTCAACTATATGTATGCCTTCCTTTCTGGAAACTTCTTTACGAAATCTCACAAGAGAGGCTGAAGAGATGGCTCAGCAGTTACATACACGCAGGCAAAACAGTCATACACACAAAAATTTTTAAAAATCTCGGAAGAAGGGGCTGGAGAGATGGCTCAGTGGTTAGGAGCACTGATTGCTCTTGCAGAGGACCCAGGTTCGATTCCCAGCACCCACATGGCGGCTACAAACCATCCTTAACGCCAGTTCCAGGGGAATCTGAAGCCCTCTTCTGACCTCTGCGGCATTGTATGACACGGGTAAACTCACATGCATTTAGGCACTACACTTACACACAAAATAAAAAAATAAAAAAATAAAATATTTTTAAAAAATCTCAAAAGAACATATATGTGGATTTAAATGAAATTACCTTCACTCCATGGAGCTGAATAGATGAATTTGTTTCCCCCACGCACTTGCAAATCACCTCGCCAAGCTCCATCAAGTAGAGCTGAGCCATCGAAAAGTAGCCCCTCGCCAGGTGAGCCAAAACCTACAGAGAGAACGGGGAATTGACCTGACCATCTGAAAGCAACACGGTAGTACTTGGCAAAGTTGTTTCAATATTTCAGAATCACTCGTACTTAGCCAGGACCTTAAATCCAATGTTGACTGAAATGAAAAACAGCCATAATCTATCTAGCTGGTGACTAACTTCAGTTTTATAACACTTTATTGATTTGTGATTATTTTTCTTAACTACCATCTCAAGTCTTGGGATAATTTTTTGATGTGGATAATTAGTGAGTTTACAGCTGAGGGAACCAAGGCTGAAATAGTTAGAGGATGTGTCCAACATTATGCAGACACTTAGCAGCAGCCTCCAGAGCCAAGCCTACGTCTTAGACCACCTCTGAGTATACAGAAAGCAAATACTTTTATCTAGGGGTGTTTTCTCCCATTGAAGGAGCATTTTGCTTCACTAAGCAGATGCGAGATAACAAAGACTTTATAGAGAATTGACTTTAAGTTGCAGAAGTCAAAAATTAATCATTATACCCACCTGTCATACAAAACCCGAGGTGACTATGATAGTTTGCAACAAGAAAGCATGCACCTGACAGTTTACAACCAAGGATGGCCCCCAAACAAAACAACAAAAACAAGCCACCCACATCTCAAGTGTGACACTACTTCCCAGTACCTGTTCCTCAATCACCCTTTGAAGAAGGAATGATCACTTCCTTTCAGACTACAGGAAATGGAGCTTCCTACCTGGAGGGCCTCCAGTCGCATAGGGGGTGGTTCATAGGTACTTCCTGTTGCAGAGCCAGCATCACTTCCTGAGCAGGAATCTTCCTTGGGCAGCACAACAGTGGAAATGCAAAGTCGGATGAGCCAGCAGGGCTCTGAAGACCCCTTTGGTGAACTACTTGATGCTTCCTCCAGCGAGAGTCCTGCAGGGACTTTCTTCCACCAATCAGGAGTGCTGAGGTAAGGAGTTGCTGAGTGGCTACTGCCAAGCCCAGAAGAGCAGGGCTGTTGTAGAAGCAGCTGCACTTCAGGTAAAGGTGCATGAGTGGACACTATAGCTCCTAAGAGTGTGAGACTTGACACCCGAACATTAACATCTGTCACAAGAAAGTCAGAGCCTATCACCATGGGCACCACTATCATAAGGATTGTAGTTATCCCTACCAGCAATTAAGAATTACTAGATTCTGTTTAATAAGGTCTGATTAAACTTCTAGTTCCAGTTCAAAGAAATATGGGACAATATCCTAAACAACCAACAGATCAAGAACATTAGACATTCTACAAGACAACTGACATGGAGTATCCAAATGTATTATCAAACAACTACAGAAAAAGAGGGGGGTGGTTTCCAGACTGAAAAAGACTGAAGAGGCCAGACATGATGTATGCCTAAATCCTAGCACCTGGGGGCTGGAGAGATGGCCCAGTCCTTAAGAGCACTTGCTGCTGTTGCATAGGTTCGGGATTCAACTCCCAGCATCCATATTGGGTGGGCTCATAACTGTCTCTAACTCCAGTTCCAGAGGATCTGATGCCCTCTTCTGGCCTCCACAGGTGGCTGCACACACACACACACACACACACACACACACACACACACTAAAAACCTTTAAATTCCTAGCACTTAGGTAGGGCTAGAGAAGATGGCTTAGCAGTTAAGAACAGAGGGCCTGTGTTTGGTTTTCAGGTCCTAAATAGTGGCTCACAATTGTGTATAACTCTAGTTCTAGGAGATCTGACACACTTTTCTAGCCTCCGTGGGTACTACATGCATATACATACAGGCAGGCAAAATACTCAGACACATAAAATGAAAATAAAAAATAAAATAAAACCCTAGCACCAGGCTGAGGTAGGAGGATTGCAAGTTTGACGCCAACCTGGACTACATAGGGAGACCCTGTCTCAAAAAAGCAAAACAAAACCAGAACAGTAAAGTGGCACAGTAACAAAATGTAATTAATATGTGAACTTGTTGTTGATCAAACAACAACAACAACAAAAGCCATTAAAACAACAACAAAAAACTAGGGCTGCAGACACAGCTCAGTGATTAAAGTATTTGTGGCACAAGTGGGGACTTGATTTGGCTCCTCAGAACCCGTATGAATGTCAGGTGGGCATGGCAGCACACCTGTAATTCCAGTGCTCAGAAGGCAAAGACAGGGGATCCCAGGAGCAAGCTGGCTAGCCAGATGGCTTTATCGGTGAGCTCTAGGCTCAACTGAGAGACACTGCCTCAATGAATAAGTGGAGAGTAATCGAAGAACACCTCTGATGACACATATAAACACCCATATACACATGCACACACATCATACATACACATATACATGAAAAAAAGAAGAAAATCAAACAGTTTAAGTTCAGGTTTAATTTTCTGCACGTGGACGCCTAGCTGTTCCGACACCACCTACTCTTTTGTTGTAGACCTGCCGTCTGGATGAATTTGAGTGTACACGTGGGCTCTCGACTCTGTTCCACTGACCTGTCTATTCCTCTGCCAATTCTACACTGCCTTGACTACTACAGTTTTATGGGCTTTGAAGTTGGGTAGTGACACTCTCTGATTATCTCTTTCCCCTCTGAACAGGGGGTTGAACTTAGGGCCTTCCTTGTACATTCTAGGCAAGTGCTCTCCTGAGCTAAACCACCAGTCCAACTGACTCCTATTCTAGACCTTTTGTTTTACAAACTTTAGAATCCATTTGCTGACATCCTACAAAATGACCTGCTGGGCTTTTGACTGGGATTACACCAAATTTAATGCTCAAGTTGGGACGAACTGAAACCTCGCTGATACTGAGTCCCCCACCCATGAACATGGAATAAATATTTGTTAGTTCTCTGTTGTCCTTTCATTGGTTTAGTTAGGTTCACACTGAGATTTGCTAGATTCACACAAGTACTTCAGAGTGTGAATGTTTTAATACTGAAAACATTGACGTATAAAGTCAGACACCTGCAAGGGGCTGTTGATACAGCTGAAGATACAGAGAAACAAGTGTAGGGAAACATGCAGTGGACTGAGTCAGGAGATCTGGGGTCTTAATTATACATGTACCATTAATGGGATGAGTGATCTCAAGGCAGGACTCATCCTTCTGTGTCCTGTTTTACAAAGTGGTTTAAGGAGTGGACTGAACTTAAAGCCTTTCATTTGAGCCTCATAAAAATCCAAGGAAATCAGGGTTCTGGGAGGCCATGGCTATGATGGTAGAAACAGGAGCAAGATGTAGATCCTGACTAATGTCAGGATCGTTCCACAACATCACAAGAAACACCTGCATTGCCTTCTTACTCTGCAGCCTTGACTGAACACCTCAACTCATCAGGAGTCTGATCTGAAATTTTGCAAACAAAGAAAAGTAAATATTCTAAAGGCAGGTTCTTATAGCCTATACACATTACGTATGGGACTAAGTCAAGAAACACAAGAACTAAGGTTGTAATTAGTGGAGATTTGAATGGAACTTCAGAGGACTTTACATGAACTTCAGAGATAAAGTTAAAGTCAGGTTTTTGCTGGGCATGGTGCTGCATGCCTTTAATCTCAGCACTCAGGAGGCAGAGGCAGGCAGATCTCTGTGAGTTCAAGGCCAGCCTGGTCTACATAGTGAGTTCCAGGACAGCTGGGGCTACAGGGAGGCCCTGTCTCAAAAAGACCAAAAAAAAAAAAAAAAAAAAAAAGAGTCAGGTTTTTGTATTATAGTTTTCTTTCCCAATAGATATCTTTCCATCCATCTATCTGCCTGCCTGTCCATCCATCCTCCTCTACCTATCCCTAAAGTCACTAATTATTATCCACCTGACACAGGCCACTTGCACTTGGCTCACTCCTAATCTAAAGGTGCAGTTTAGTCAACTGTCTTGAAACATCAAAGAGACACAGGACTTTACAGTCAGTTCTCTGCTCTTTTCCTGCTGCTGCGGCCTGAGGCCAAAAGTGGGATTCTAGCAATAGCTGATACCCTTGAAGCAGAGAGCTTTCAGAGCTGTAGAATATTCTGCATATTCACATTAAACAAACAAACAAACAAACAAACACCCCAACCAATCCTCTACATTTGACTGACATAATGAGGCAATTAATTTTAAAACACTACCAACCTTTGTGGCGGATATAAGGCTTTATATGATTCCAGACTTTGGTTAGCAAGCTGAGTTTCAGACGGTTGTAAGGTGAATTTGATACTAGATTTGCAAGGCACTGTGAAACACACACACACAAAAAAAAACCCAGGGCATCAACAGGCATCATTAAGCCACAGAAAAGAAACACACTTTTGCAATATTTAATTTAAAAGATGTTTTTTAAAACATTGTTTAATTAATTATTTATTTTTTAAGTGTATGCTCTTGTACACGTGCCATGGAGTATGCATGGACATGCAGGACATGTGGGTCCTGGGGAACAAACCTAGTCATCAGGCTTGGCAGCAAATGCCTTTACCTATCTGCACTATCTCAGGAGCTCTCCTTCCCCCAATTTTAAAAGGTCTTTATGCTTAATGAACTCAGTTTTGATTTTTGTTGTTTTGGTTTCTTACATCTAAAGGATAGATTAGACAACCAGGTACAGACTTTCAAACAGGTATCTTTGATAAAATTATTATTTATATTCTTAGGTCAAATTACTTTTAGACAATGTGAAATATTCTTAGGTCAAATTACTTTTAGACAACGTGAAATATTATACAAACTTTAACAGAAAAAGCCGGTCTTGAACCCACAGATAACTTGGAACTTACCTTGATTATCTGCGTAAGGGTTTGGGAAGATGATTCTGCCACCAAAGCTAAGAGAAGACATCTGTGTAACTCTCTAATGCTGGATGCAATCGTCACAGAGAAGGGAGTGAAAGCCCTTCTGTGGTCATTGGTATCTTCGGCGACAGAAAGAAACTGCTTTGAGCCTTCCAAGATGGCAGACAAAACTTGTAGAGCACAGGCACGTGTCTGAAATTTCAGGATGATTCACATTGATGAGTTCAAAATCAGCAGCCTAGTTCCCTTTGTCCTATACATACTTAATTTCAAAGTGTTTAGAGCCATCTGAATTAGAATAATGAGAGCTCTACCAGGTCCTGAAGGTGGCTACAAGCTAGGCCATTTGCACCCATTCCAAAAAAAGTCCAAATCCTACTGCTGTTGGATTATGTTAAGGCATAGATCTAAGTTCTACCATGGCATGAAAATTTGGAATTCTAAGTTTGAAGATTATAGATTTATGTATTCAAGCATAAGGCCAACTGAAAAGATAAAATGCACGTGTCTAGTCCATTACAAGTTAAAGCTTCTGAGAATATTCTGCTTATACTCTACCACGAAGCATCTGAGTGTATATTCATCTTTGGCAAGCCAATGTTAGAAACACTCACATGTGTAGGAAGTAACACTGTAGTGCGAATGCCTGATTTAAAAAAAAAAAGGAATATCATTACTGTTGTGTGTATGTCTGTGTGTGCACATGTGGGTGGAGGCCAGAGGTTGAAGTCAGGTGTCTTACATTTTGAGACAGGGTCTCTCACTGAACCTGGAGCTCACCTATTTGGTGAGGCTGGCTGGCAATTGAGCTCCAGGAATCCACCTGACTCCACCTCCCCAGTGCAGAGATTACAGAAATTCATTGCCAGGACCAGCTTCTTTATGTGCGTGCTGGGGCTCTGAACTCAGGTCCACATGCTTGCATAGCAAGCACTTATTTATTTTTGTTTTTAATTCTTAAAATTTTTAATTTTTATTTTATTTATTTATTTGGTTTTTAAAAAATATTTTATTTTTTTATTTTATGTGTATGAGTGTATTGTCTGCATGTAGGTAAGTGCACCCGTGTTGTGCAATGCCCACGGAGGACAGAAGAGGCCATTGGATCCCCTTGAACTAGAGTTACGGACAGAGTTGTTAGCTGCCATGCGGGTGCTGGGATTCAAACCTGGGTCTTCTGCAAGAACAACTAGTATTCTTCACCGCTGAGCCATCTCTCCAGCTGTTTTTTTTTTTTGTTGTTGTTGTTGTTGTTTGTTTTTTAAAGACAGGGTTTCCCTGAAACCCCAGCTAGCCTGGAACCTGCTGTGTAGACCAGGCTGGCCTCAATCTCAGAGATCTGCTTGCCTCCTCCTCTGAGTGCTGGGACCAAAGGTGTGCATCACCATGCCTGGCTAACATGACAAGCACTTTAAACATGATCATCTCAGAATCCCTAAAGCTAATCTTATGGATATAAAGGGAAGAAAAAAATATCTTTGTTAAGTGATTACTTAAGGAAAAGTCACTGCATTAAGATTTTCTTTGTGCTGAACATGGCTGAGGCAAGCAGATCTCTGTGAGATCGAGGCCAGCCTGGTCTACATAGTGAGGTCAGCTTGGGCTACAGGGAGCTATGTCTCAAAAGCCAAAAAAAAAAAAAAAAAAACCCAAAAAAAAGAACCCAAAACAAAGTTTTTCTTTGTAGGGATAAAAGGTTGTTTTTGGTTGATACTCATGACTCTGGGCACTGAAAATAAGAAATGGAAAGCTAATTTTACCAGAATGGAATACAGGTAATAAGTGCAAAATTATTAATACCAAATAATACTGTACCCCTTTTGTCTGTTTGCCTAACATGCTAATTAAACACTGCCAGGCCAGATTTCTTCCTAGCAAGGAATCAATGCTCTAATTGTAGGATCTAACTTAAATGTTTAGCCATCATGAAGCATACCTCAGTTTAGAGTGAAGTTTTTTTTTCAGAAAGCCTTCTACCATATTATCTTCAAATAACAAAATAAATGTAACCTGAACTGGTGGTACTTTACAGAGAAAATCTGCCAGCTCCGGGTCCAAGTTCTTTGGTCAGCTGGCTCACACCCATGGTCATGCTTCATACATATGATCTGCTAATGCATCGATCATCAGCTTCCTAGATTTGTTCTGAAAACTCAAGTCACATGCTATACAAGTATATTCAGAACTAAATCTTCAGTGTTTTTATTATTCCCTTTCACAAAAGGCCAGCACTATGTCCAGAAGGAAATCCTGCATCTTTTTCCTTATATTTCTGCGTTCATCAGATTTAAATCACAAGAACAAATGAAGAGGTGGACTGAGACCATTGTGCAATACGTGTGTATCTTTTATGACACTCTAAGTTAAATGTAAACGGTTTTAAGATAAAGTATCATGAAATTCATTTCAATTTACTTTCATCAGATATGACCTTACAACCTCTGTCTTCTTACGTCTCAAGCTCACATGTCCCACATCCCCTTAGCTGGAGAGCTGAGGCAGGTGGTTAGCCTGGACTGACCTGCCTGGGGTGCCATCTCCTTGGCCACCAATGTCACTCCCTCCAGGAGTTGTGAGAACGGCTTCCTCATTGACTTACTTACCACCCTTCATTTTCTCTTTTTCCTCCATGTTCTCACCCACCACTGATTCAGCCCAACTGCAAAACTCCTGTTGGTTTAACTACTTAGGATACTGGATATATGAAAATACCGTAAGAATTTTGTGTGTATGATTAAGGCTAACATAAGCCTTTTCAGGGCCTCCTAGAAGTTTTCTTATACAGTAGTTAACTTTCAAACAATCATGGAGCATTCCAATCTACTGGAGATTACTTTCAAGGAGAAACCTTAAAAATAGGCAAAATGTATTAGAAAGCTCATTAAAACTGTCCATTTTCTGAAAAATACTTTTTTGATTTATTTCTTTTTATTTTATGTGTATGAGTGCTTTGCCTGCATGTACAAAAAGTGTACCCATGTCCTGCAATACCCCCAGAGGCCAGAAGAGGGTGTTGGATCCCTTGGAACTGAAGTTAAAGATTCTTGTTAGCCATGACGTGGGTTCTGGGGACCAAACCTGGGTCCTCTGCAAGAGTAGTTGTTGCTCTTAACTGTTGCGTCACCTCTCCAATCCCCCAAATTACCCATTTTCAGTAGGTAGTTAGATTACCTGAGGAAACCCATATGCCATTCAGCATGACCTTTTTTTTGGGGGGGGGTCTTTTTGAGACAGGGTCTCTCTGTAACCCTAGCTTGCCTGGAACTCGCTATGTAGACCAGGCTGGACTCAAACTCACAGAGATTCACCTGCCTCTGCCTCCTGAGTGCTGAGATTAAAGGCATGCACCACCACGCCCTGCTCAGCATGACTTTTTTATACTCATTATTGTATGTCTAATAACAGACTACTTTGCTTCCTTGGTTAAGGAATTAACATATCTATGTAGAGGCTGATATTTGATAGGCCATGGGGTAGCTTTCTGTAGGTACCTGTATTGCCAAACCATTTTTTTCTGTTCTAAATTTGTTTTTCTCATTAAAATATATAAACATTTATTACTCATGATTTGTTGCTGCTGCTGTTGTTGCTGTTTTGAGACAGGGTCTTCCTGTAGCATCAGCTGGCCTAGAACTTGCTTTGTAGACCAGGCTGGCCTTGATCTCACAGAGCTCTGCCTGCCTCTGCCTCCTGAGTGCTGGAATTAAAGGCATGTACCACCATACCTGGCTACTCATGATTTTTTAAGATCAAAAGAAAATCAAAAGAAAAAAACACTGTTAGGACCTTATTTATATATAGCTCTATCTTGTGCTTTCAGAAAACAAGGCACTTTTCTAAGCCTTAGATATCCTATATAACCATTATGCAACATATTCCATTGCGTTAAGCCATTTCTGATTTTTTTTTCCTATTATAAATACCACAGCAGTCAACATTTTCTTGATGGGGTAAGGATAGCATCAGAGGAAACAGAAGTCATAACAGTGTGCTTAGATTTCAAGTGGCCTTGGGGTGAGAGGCAATGTCAATATCCCTGTTCCCTACTCTCCTGCCCAGTGAGGGTCCTCAAGTCAGGACCTGGGACTGAATTAATAACAGCAGATTTGGAGATCAGAGAGGACAGAGGAAAAAGGACACATAAGCCTTGTCTTCCTATGATAAAGCTTCGACTTTCTGTGCTCTTACCTTGGGAGAAGGATCTTTCAGTGTGAGGGTCATTAAAGACACAGACTGTGGGCTTCCGAGTTCAGGTGTATCAGGAACAAAGGCTGACCAGTAGCCATACAGAACTTTTTTTTCTATTGATTTGATAGTAGAAAGAAAACAAGCTAATGCTCCTTGGCGAACCTTGGCTTGGTACAATCTTTCATAGTAAGGAAAAGAGTTTTAGAAGTTTTTCAAAAGCACAAACATGAAACTACTGATTCTAACCAGTTCAAATGACAGATTGAGAAATTGACCATCCTGAATATTACTAAGGATGTTCCCATCTTTTTCAAAATATGATCAATTGTGTTAAGGTAATCTGCTCATATAACAAGATATAAAGGACAACAAAAAACACAAATAGAGGAAAAGACAGCAGCATTTTGAGATTAGCATTGGATAAGAAACACTGCAGGGTTCCATGCATCCAGTCAATAAACAGCCCTGGAATGACCTTATGATCATTCATTGTGGTCATAATGCTAAGGAGACCAGATACACACAAAGGCCCTACCTATGACAAGCTTATCAACAGCAGCATCAGGCAGTTCACAAAGTAACTATAACACATTACATGACACTAGGGCAAAGGTAAATTACAGGGTCATATAAGAGGGGAACCTAAGCTAGAATGGCGGGGTTGGAAAGTTTCCCAGAGAACATGATTTCTGAGCTCATTTTGAAGATGAGTAGTGGTTTACAAGGCAAAAAAAGAAGTAAAGAGTATTTCAGGGAGAGAAGTACACACAAAGATCAAGAGAGCAGCCATGTTCAAAGTAATACAAAGCCCCAGGGGCAGGACAGATAGCTCAGCAGTTAAGAGTACTGGTTGCTTTTGCAGAGGACCCAGGTTCAATTCCCAGCACCCACATGGAGGCTAACAACTGTCCGTAACTCCCGTTCCAGGGGATCTGATGCCCTCTTCTGACTTTTGTGGGCACTGCATGACACAGGTGCATTTACATACATGCAGGCAATACATTCATACACATAAAATAAAATATTTTTAAAAAGAGAGAGGGGAGGATGGAGAGATGGCTCAGCAGTTAAGAGCACTGACTGCTCTTGCAGAGGACCTGGATTCAATTGAGGACCCGGGTTCAATTTCCAGCACCCACATGGCAGCTATAAACCGTCCTTAACTCCAGTTCCAGGGGAATCCGAAGCCTTCTTCTGACCTCTGTGGCATTGCATGACATGGGTGCACTCACATACATGCAGGCAATACACTCATACACATAAAATAAAAATAATAAAATATTTAAAAAAGAGGGAGTGAGAGAGCAGTCATGTTCAAAGTAATGCCAAGCCCCAGATAGATGAGAATCTTTAGTCACACATGGCAGGTGTGCAAGCAAAGTTAAAGTCACATGCAACTAAACTTGAGATAGGACAATATAACAAAATACTACTACCTCATTTTACCCTGCACGCCTCCTTCCGCATCAGAATAGTCTGACTCACTGTTGGAGAGCCTTTTCCAACTTGAAGGACTGAAGGGTGAGACTTGCTCTCTTGCCGCAGCTCTACTGCCATCTACAGGCACACTCTGCATGGCCCGGGAGGAGGAACACCAAGTGTTCTCCTGGCACATGCTTACTCTGCCAGAACGGATGCCTGGGGTCGTTTCCATTTCGCCACTGGATTCATCCTCCTCCCCCTCTTTCTCTCCTTCCTGGGCTTTCTTTGGTTTTACTTTGTGTTTTTTCTTTTTAGTCTGATTTTAGGAGCAAACAAAGACATAAATAGCAACTTTAAAATAACTGAAATCACTGGTACTTTCTCATTTGAAAGTGACTTGATATGTTCCCTACACTTGATATGTTCTGAACAAAGGAGAAAAGAGGACACAAGAAAAAGGCGGCAGGCTGAATGAGGCATGATGCCAACTGCATGCACTGCTGGACTGTTAGAAACAGGCACGGAGTCAACGGGACAGAGCAAAGCATGCGGCCCGAGTTTAAATTTTCCCAGGGATTCTGGGCTAATCATTTAGCATCTGAGCTTGACCTTCCTCCTCTGTAAGTAGGTGACAGAGCTGTAGTAAAACAACAGGCCTTCTCAAGATCTGCTGCAATGGAATGAAAACCCGTGGGAAATAATTTCAGCACCTGCTTTCTCACTTCTTCTAAACAAGATGTAGTCTGTCCCTCTATAGCAAGCACAGGGGATGGCAGTCCACTGCATATGATGTGTGCCCTAGGGCCTGTGGGCTATACAGTAGTAGATATCAAGTAAAAGCCACTTTCTTTCTGTTCTGTTTCTTTCTTTCTGGCATCCAAATATCTTTGGAATCTGTGCCTTCCTCCCTCCTCATTTTCAAGTCTTTGTCTTGGAGGAAGGAAGGTTCACATCTCTTCTACCTTGGACTACTCAAAGTGGTCCAGACCTGTGCTACCACATGGGTTTTCTAAGTTGCAAATCCAACCACATCATCTTGCTATATAAGATTCTTCCATCACCTACAAGATAAATATCCCAGACTCCTTAGTAGTCCATACGTGACCCTCCGACCCCCGCGCAACACAACTGAAATGCAGTTCTGCAAGGTAACAGAAGAACACATACTCTTTTTTTTTGGGTCTTTCCATGTACTGATGCAGCTTTTGTTCCCTCCACCTCTATTTTTATCATTTATTCTGGAGTCTCGGCTTACCCATCACATCTTTAAAGAAACTCTCTTTCTCCTCTATTTGGATTGTGTGTCCTGAATGTGTTTTTAGAGTACTTTGTGAATGTTCTGGTAAAGGAAATTATAATATTGTATTGTAGTTGTTGACCCATCTCTTCATCTCCAAATTCTTAGTCAGTATCTATATTCTTTCGTGTGTATGTAGTATGTGAATGCATGAATGTGTGTGTGTGTGTGTGTGTGTGCGTGCGTGCACATGCGTGAGCATGTATGGTGGGGTACATGCCCATGTATTAGATGTGGAGGCCAGAAGTTGATGTTGGGTGTCTTCCTCTATCACTCTTCATCTCATTCTTTGAGACAGGGTCTCTAAGCTGGAACTCACTGACTAGCTAGACAGGCTGATCACTGAGCCCCTGGATCTGCTTGTCTCCACACTCCCAGCACTCATGTCACAAATGTGGGCCTCACACCCGGCTTTTTATATGGGTGCTGGGGATCTGAACTCAGGTCCTCATGTTTGTACAAGAAACATTTTATTACCAAGCCATCTCTCCACTCCAATGCCTATATTCTTAATGCTTTGCACAATGTCTGCGGTATTGTAAATGTTCTTTAAAAATTTTATTCAGCTTATTTTATGTGTATGTCTGTGCACCATGTGCACGCAGACAGTTGTGAGCTGCCATGTGGGTGCTGGGAATCAAACCCGGGTCCTCTGGAAGAGCAGCAAGTGCTCTTAATCACTGAACCATCTTCCCAGTACAGTACATATTTAATTAATAAGTGGAAGAATTTCTAATTTTTTTTTTTTAAGGACTTTCTTTTCGAGACAAGAGTTATGCAATTTGGGAGTCTTTAAGACAGACCCACTGAAGGGGTACTCCAATTGCCTCACCCTGCATCCCTGTTCAGCATGGAAGAAGCCAAAGTGGTCTGTGTCCCTATCCCTACTGGCAATTTGGGTAACCTCTTCAGAGGATGACGTGATAAGAATAGGAGGTAGGAACTGGCTAGGCAGTTAGGGTAAGAAGACCCCCAAAGAAATGTAGCCAGTTTCTTGG